TTTGGTTTTATTAGATAACTGCACTAAACACGCTGTCACCAACAGACCAAAATCACCATTAATTCTAGGGTTATTAACCAGTTCAGTACAATCCATCACATCTCAAGTACCCTGAAACAGATGGCCTGCAATCCCAAGGCAATGCTCCCAAGAGTGCTAAAAACTATAATGATCGAAGAACTATTTATTAGAACTGCTCACCATRTCTGTAATCCAAGGGAGCTGGGGAAAGATTACAGAAACAAAGTGTCACTGGAAAGATTATGATTTAAAATTCAGCTTGAGTTACTAATATAATTTGCTTTCTGTAAAACACTTTTAAATATGATCCCATGATGGACACAGTTTTTCTTAGAATCAGCTGCACAAATTTACAACATTTAGGAATCAAATAAAAACCCACAGCAGCCATCTGATCTCACTACATGTTATCTGTGTTTGTCTTTTCCAGCTCTGGGTGTGCAGTGGCTAACAGAAGTTGGATTATCATTTTCCTGCAAACAAGACTATGTAAGTACTTAAAAGCACTCCAGATTTCCAAAGTGAGACAATTTAAGGGCTAAATCCTGCCCTCTAGTGTACCTGTGGGTGCTGGTGCCCTTGGAACCTTCCCSACTTGCAAACTGGACAGAAAATATCTGGGACGGGCAGGACAGTTCACTGCCCACTGGACAGGTATCATATTGCCTTGATGCATCTGTAGAGTGTACCTGCTACTGGATCACACAGCTCCAGGGTGGGCAAGACTCAATAGGACACAGGTTTAGCAGACACAATGGCAGTTGAGAGGGCATCCTACCCTGAGCAGGATCATGCAGGAATATGATGGTATTTCTGTGACAAAAGAAACAAAGGAAGCATATTCCCAACCTTTTCACACATGGAATGTCTGCCACCTGGTCCCCTAAAAACAGCTACATTCAAGAGCCAGGAGGAATTTCTGTGCTATGCCACAAAATACTTGGCAAAGTAGTTAAAAGTCTGTGCAACAGATCAAAAGTAATGCAAAAAGAGTGTGTTTCCAGAAGGACTTGGGTAGAAGCAATGTATTTGAATGTTTAGGGGCAGGGTTTTTTAAAAGGAGAGTCACCTCTCAGTGCCAAGATTTGGAACAGATCTTRCCCTGTCAAAGGTCCAGCCACATCTGTGGGACACCAAAATGGGAAGGGAGACAGCCCAAGTCACAAACAACTTATGCTCCTATAAAAGCTAAACAACAGGTACTGAACATTCATACTAAAACACTTCCTAACATTTGCTCTGCTTCCTCTTTCTGAGGATTATCATGAGTTTTCCTCCATTGCATGAGCAGTGACCAGATTTCCATSGTCTCATTGAGCTGCTCTAAAAGTCAGCCTATAATTCAGCAGAGTCTTTGTAAAACATTTAGAGTATAACTATTTAAATGTCATGTAAGAGACAAGTCAAAATCTTAATGTTAACTATTTATGAAAGGAACCTTCTTAAAAAAATTTCCTGGACCACTATTACTCTATTTTACATTTTCTTCAGATAGTTTTTGAAGAGGAGAGGTACTGAGGAGGAAGAAGGTATTTTGGGTATGTGCAGGGTTGACTGAGCTCACACAGCTGAATTCTTTCTAAGTGAGAAGGCTGGAGCCTTGTCACCTCATTAAGGAGTGGACAAGAATGGCTCAGGATTCTTTGGATACTGTCTTTGGGTTACGCTCATCATGAAACAAAGCTGCTTAAGAAATTATGGAAATATATAAATGCCAACCACTCCTCATTTAGGGAAACTCTGAAGGGAACCAGCTGTGCTAYTAGACATGTTTTAAATGTATGGAGAAGTGTTCCCTTTCCATTCCCCATGTTCTTCTCCCTCACTGGCACTGAAGCTCTTTGAGAGAAACACCTCTGGAGAGTTTGTGAAAGCCTTTCCAAAACTACTGTGTTCCTTGTATGTTTTCCAGGGCATAAATCAGAAGTTGTTGATGAACAACAACAACAAAATCCATGTTTATTTTGCCTTAAACAACTAAAGTCTCAGAAAGCACCTTCTGTTTCTTGTTTGTCTGTAAGTWCCTCTTCAAGGCAAAAAACTTGGGACAGAGTCCCCAGAGTGTGTCCAAAGGGGCACTTCACTGGAGTCACTGMACCACACGCATCAGATGTGGCAATAATGGCCATGTAAGACGTTCTGTCCCCGTTTTCAGCTGTGTGAATCATATGATCCCAATCCTCCAGCACGCAGGACGTCAACTTCCATTCTTAATTTCATTAATGACACAATTATGAATAAATAAAGGTGAGTGGTGTGAGTGTAAAACTGTGTCATGACATAAACCAGACATATATTCCAAATAGAGGCAGGAGGAAGGGAGCTTAAGAGAACATGGAGCATGGAAATTTGTTTATAGTATTAAAACTTTGGCCTGAAGTGTAAGGAGACAGTAATTTGTTTTCTAAAATAAGAACTTCCTTTAAAAGAAGAAGGATGATGTGCTACTGAAATGTTATTTTGTATAATTAATTCCTAAGAATAGCAGCAACCACAAGCATCTCTACTCAGTGTCCTTTAATTATTTCTAAACCAAACACTGCAAAGCCATTGTATTTCTTTTTTCAAGAACACCTTACAAAACCTTTTGCTGAGCTAAGAAAGCCACCCTGAACTACTCGACATGTATATTTTCATTGCTAATTTCTTTTTTAAAGTCCTCTCACATTGTCCAAGATTTATTGCCCTCTGCCATGCCAGGAATATCACAAGATTTCACAGGGACTTCCACAGCACAGCACTCACCAGGTCAGAGTTGAGCAGAGTCGTGTGGAATGACGTATTTACAGCAAGGATGCTAAGGATGTGAACCATGCAATGCCTCAGCAATGTGCCTCATTGATGCTTCAAGTACTGAGTATTTTCTGCTTCTCAGAACTAGGGCTCTTCCAGGAAAAGAAGAAAAAAAAAAGAGAGAAATAAAGGAAAAGCAACAAGCCAAGAGCTGTCTGATAATGAGAAAAGGAGAGCGTGGCAGCAGGGGACAAGGGAACAGCTTGGGCATGGTGGCACTCCTGTGCCCAGGGGTGTTTGCTGGAAGTGAATCCCACCAGCCCCCCRGCTGTATCACACAAGGTGCTCTTTTTAACAAAGAGATTTTCTGCAGTTGGCCAGAGAGTGCCAAGCTCAGGATGCCCAAGGAGCKGACTTTCTGCAGCACAGGGCAGAGGCCACACGACCCACTTACAACTCAGGTTTTCCTTCATCTGCTGGCACCATTCAYTCAAGAGGAAAATGGGTAGGAAAAGAGGAGCTTCGGAGACACAAGCACCAAAGGAAAGGGGAAAGAAGACTTGTGATCAGATAGTACTGAAAAGGCAGGAAAGAAAAGTAGAGTCAAAAGGAGAAGCTCAAAAGAAATGACAAAAACAATACAGCTTTAATTCAAAACAGAGAAATCTGACAAAATAAGGCAGTATCAAGACTAKAAATATTTTCAAACAGAAATCAAAAGGCAGCAAAGAATACCACCTCCATTCTGGGCAACTTGACCCCCCCAGCCAGGTGAGCACTGAACAACACACACCACTACTTGCACTTTTCAAAAGAAAAAATCAGGAATGAGGCAAGAACCCAAAAGCCATGGCAATGACTTGGACCYAGCTTCAGCCTTGTACATTCTCCACTCAACATCATTTCCCTCTGCAGCAGATTTCCACCACATTTTCATAGCTCCTTCTGGGGCTGAGGTGACATGACTGATGAACTAATGAGATTTATTTCCTTTAAGGATTCCTGTTACAGAATTTCTTTGGAATTGTTGGGAAAAACTWATTGTTTTGCAAAAGGTGAATGTCCAAGGYRGAAAGCAGTATTAARAATCTGTGGTCTGTCTTCTYCCTCYYTTYTCCTCTTTGTCCCCAAGTTTAGCCYGGTCCCTGCATCCATCACTYAGAGCACAGGTGCAAAGCAGATGAAGAATCCCAGTAAGGCATTYCACCTACCCCTCATGCCAAGCGCCTGCAGGCAGACCCTGCACACACTGCACGGTAACAAATTCTCTCCAGCCAGGAATCACTRCGGGAAGGTCTGACAGTTACACAGCAACTCCCTGTACCTGCTTCCAATGAAACGCCTCACTACTACATCCACAAAACCTCCATACTGACCGCTTCCAAAATACTCTGAGCTCTGCTTTTGCATTTTGGCATTTTGCTTGTGGGACAAAAGCAGCCTGCGTAGGTAGCAGCAACCTGCTGCACGCTCCCTGCCTGCCTGTGATCACTCAATCCACGGGCTATCTTACAGCCCAGGAGCCTCTCCCTCCCTTCAAAAGAGCAGGTATTGAGGGGACAATGGACACAATTGGACACAATCCATATGTATTATGGAACCTATAGGTTTTATCTATACCTAAACCAGCCTCAATCAAGTTTCAAACAAAAATCACAACATGGAACATTTTAAGCCAAAAAAGTCGACAGGAGTTGTTATAATCCCTGCTTCCCTGCACAGATGTACACCTCTGTTTTTAAGAGCACGTGTATSCCAAAAGCATTCCTACTCATGAGCATCCATCCGCACCACGAAAATGAACAACATCCTCTCTATCTTGATGCATCCAGTGCATTCACCACCGCCGTGCGTCAAGTGCCCTTACACTTGTAAGAGCCACGCAAACAGATTTAAGAACCCTTCAAGCACGTAACCAAACCTCGGTGCGCCTGACGAGCTCTGTACCCGGCAGGTTGAGCTCGGAGCCGCCAGCGAGGGATATCCCGCGGGTGYCGGTGCGGGACCACCCGCTGCGGGACGTGTGTATGAATTAACCYGGTATGAATTAACTCCGTCTGCGTACTCGCCGTTATTCACATAGGAACATTCGGCACATTTACGGGCGCTTTCCAAGCACGGCTCCCTGCCGAAGCTTCGGCAAGGCGGGACGGCAGAGGCGCGGCCCCTCTCKGAGCCCTGCTGCCCGGGCGAGGAGCCGCCCGCCCGCCCCGGTGCCGCCCGCAGTGGTCCCGGGCCACACTCACTGTGCGGRTCGCTCTTTTCGCGGACGCCGTCCACCTTCCCGTCGGGGTTGATGCGCAGGAAGAAGCCGCCGTTCTTGCAGTACAGGCGCTTGGGGTCCTTGAAGTGCCCCGGGGGAAAGGCGCCACCGCCGCCGTCGTCGGGCAGCGTAGCGATACCCCCCGCCGCCGCAGCCGCCATACGCCGGGCCCCGGCGGCACCGCGCCGCGCCGGGCCCCCGCCGCCCCCCGCCGCCAGCGCCGGGCGGCCTCGGCCCCTGCCCCGGCCGTCCAGCCTCGCCTCGCCTCGCAAGCCCCGAGCCCCGCCGAGCTCCCGACACGTCCCGTCCCGGCCGACCCGCGGGAGCTGCGCAACGGCGCTGCCGGATCAGGGAGAACGGGAGGCAGGACAGGCGGGAGAGCCGAACACGCCGGGGACGGGCTCCCCGCCGGCACCGGGCTGCCCCCGCCGCGCCCCGCCCCCGACCGCCCCCGCGCCGAGCCGGGGGCCGCTCCCTGCGCCGACACAGCCGGGCCCGCCGTCCCAGGGGACCGGGCAGGGGCGGCAGTGGGTGCCGAGGCCGAGGAATCCCGGCCTGGAGCGCGGGGCTCTGTCCGGCTGAGCATCGCTGCCGGCAGTGCTGGAAATGGGATGCARCGTACATCGGTCAGACATCTTTTCCTCTGGCCTTGTAAAAAAAAAATAACTGGAAAGTTATTTTAGACCAGAAGAAGTTATGTGGCCTCTGCACCACACTAAATTGTTTAAATCACAATATGATGAAACATGTGTTTAAAATAAATCCGTGGCAACCGTTTTGTTTCACTGTATTCACCAGAAACCAGTTCTCCCATCCAACAGGAACAAACTGATAGAAGAAGGCAGCAGGTGAAAATTCTAGCACGGGCCTTCTACCTCTAATAAAACAAATGTGCACAGGATTTATAAAGTGTAGTGACCCACCAAATGCACTCTGTGCTTCAGGCTTTCAACAAAATGGAGTGAAAATGTTTGTTTCCAAATCCATGCTTTGCACCCCTAACCTCCTCTATAGCAGCGGGCTGCTCATGTCTGGACCTTGGGAAGCTCTCCGGCTTCAAAGGCAGCACAGGCAGCCCTGGACAATTCCAAGTGAGACTGCAAACACTRGTCTTTTCACAGAGCCAACATGCAGCAACCCACAGGAACAAATCAATGCCAAGGGAGACGCTTCGTCCAGCTCACGCACTTTGTAATACTCTCTTTGCTAACAAGTACGTCAAGGATATTTTGTTGCCGCTTAACTTCCCTTCCCAGCTCTGACCTCTGGCAAGCCATAAATTTTAATTCTTTACCAGAATCAGCGACAATTACGCTGCTTCCCACACCCTCATGATGAAGGGAGCAGGCAGAGCGCAGCCCAGCCCAGGCACAGGTTCAGCCCGTGTCAGCTGCTCTCCCTCAGTGCCACAGGCATAGCCAGCGTCAGGCGCCTGCTGTTCTGCTCCACAAATGGGCATTTCAACCCTGTTGCTCCGTGAGCATCYCCCCTTCCTCAGGTTCCCCAGCCACCCATCCATTTCAAACATTTTCTGCTATTTCTCATGGAAATCCCACGTTATCGCTGTACCTGAGAGTTCTGGACAGTCACAGCCAGCAGTGAAGACTCTCCTCATTTACTCTCGCTCTTCCTCTGCAACAGAAGCTGCATATAGGGCATTTTGTGTCCTTGCACTACGGAGCCTTCTAAAGTCCTTGTGTCTTTACTGGAAGACAGACGAAGGGAAGATGAAGCTGGATTCAAGCAGATGAAGGAAAAAGGTGAAAATGATATTTTTAAACCCTAACGAAGTTCTTTATAAAAACAAAAAAGACAATCTCAAAATGCTCAAAATCCAAAAAACTTTTCTAAAGAGTAAACATTCCTAATTCCACTAAGCCATTCCTGCAACTCTACATTCTGTGCACACACAGCAGCTGTTCACAATGCTCAGCTGGATGCCCTGYCACTGAGCTGCAGAGTAAACAGTGTTTTACAGGATAGGATCCTGATATTTCTCAGCCTATGGAGCCAGATCTCCATGAGGGGGCCAACCCAGTGGTGGCAGTGTGGGTTAGGCAACCAGCTCAAATTCCTTATCAAATAATCCTTTTAAAAACTGATTTAAAAATTCAGTTCACCAGTAAAATTGTAGGCTTGAGAACTCTTTAGAAGCTTTTCACTGGAAATTGTGCATGTGGGGCATGTGGGGCCTACAACTAAAAGACAACGGAACTAAAATGAAAGTCGTATTCCCTAAGCAATCTGCACTCACCTCAAGATCTGCCAATTTTCTATACTTTTTGATATATTTTCCTTTCTCTTCTTCAAATGGAAAACATGCCTTTTTTATTTTCTCCATTCTACTTTTTTCTKCAGTCCAACCTCTTAATACGGTCATTAATATTGCCCTTAAACGTTGACTAAAGCGATTCTGGCAGTAGCATTTTCCTTTCTTGTGGCCTCTACCACCACCCTTCCTCAGCTCAGATCTTCCACACAATTACACCCATACAGCTGCTTCTCCTCCACCCAGACCATCAATTATCTGTGTTTCCAACCCCTTTCACAAGCCTTCTCTTGGCCTGTGTAAGTCACTCCATGTTACGCCTTACACCGTACCTTCCTGCTACTTCAAAAATACCTCTATTATATTATATTCTCTAACATGTTCCATTTATCTGAACTGCTGCCATTTTGTTTTTGTCTGTCCTGCACTGTTTTGTAACCAGCTGGAAATTTTAATAGAAGCAGAATACATCTCAAGTTGGAAGAGACCCCTGGGGATCAGCTGAGTCCAGTTCCCTGCTCSTCACAGGAATATCTTACCTCTTAGAGGGAGATTTACAGGGGTCATACTGAACACAAGGCACTCACCTGCACATCCAATCATCACACTTATTCAATATAGAATTCTTAAAGTTCTTACTGAGACTCTCAGTAAGAATATCTGGGAAAAAAAAACCCAAAGTACACATAATTCAAACTTAAATTGTATTGTTAGGTTACAGGAAAACCCTGGAAAATCCAAGGGTAATTGTCGAGACTTTTCAAATTAAGAGTAAGAAACTCCAATAGCTCCATCAGTTTTGATTTTTAATCCAATGCACAACAACTTTCCTGGCTTTCTAGCAGTTAACTACTACAAATCCTGCCACATGACAAGGAAATGTCAATCCCCTTTCACAGATGAATACCTTTTTCACCCTTTACCAGGATGACATCTCCAGTTTGCTCACACAGGACTAATGAAAACAGTGTTGGAAAAGCATCCTAAATTCATCTGYAGAAGATCTGATTTACTATAGAATTAAAATCAAACAAACTAACAAAAAGCCCCTCACTTTTAGAAAACAGWCAGAATTCCAGGAAAGCAAAGACACCAAGAACACTCCAGCTCATCCATCTTCACATCATAAGAACACATCAGCAGGTGGTTTGTATCACTGTGGCAGCAGGGAAATCTTCCAGCTGCTGGAAATGTAACATCAGCCCAGTCCTCCRCTATATYGCAGAGCTTCTCAGCTCTCCGGGGYTCTTGGCTTCCCAATCCCTTGCTTTGGTGCATATCCAAGTAGCAATTAGCCAAAAAGAGATGGATAAGCTGTCCCTTATGTCCCTTCTGAAGTTTTTCCTGTGCTGTCTAGTGCTCAGCTAACAGTGGAAAAAAACCATTCATCTCCTTTTTCCAGCACATCTTAACACCAAAGGCCTCCCACCATTCTCACACGCTCAATTGTCACAGACAATGTCAAAAATTTTAAGTACATTAACTGCTTGGCTTTAAGTAGATTTCCTTCCTTCAAAGCCTGAGCATGAGTTTCGAAATTCTGTAGCAACTTTTTCCTTTTTAGTTCTTTCACCATCAAGAGCTGATATGTATATTCTGGATCAATATTCATAAGTTTGCTCAGGAGCTTAAACACATGCTGCACCTGCCTTTTATGATGGAAGCAAACACAGACCTCTCTATAACTGAATTTCTCTTCTAAATATTAATTACTGTAGAAAGCAGCTTCAGGTTTTGCCCATCTACTTTCAGAAATGTAGTTTATGAGGCAAAGTTTCACTTTTTGAAGTGTATGTGGATATTAACAGCCTGAGAAAGTCCATTTGCAAGGTCAATCTTAAAAAAAGAGCCTGTAATAGAAGTTCATCTTTTCATTTACCTTTCTGAAGACTTTAAGATCCTTCATCATTATTTCTTTTAAGCAAAAGCTTCTTTCTTCCCTCTTCATCCTTTTTTTCTTTTTCTGGTACATATAATAGAAAAACATCACATTAACAATGGAAAAAAATCTCCCTATTACAAACTTCTTACAGTCTGATTTCAGTTCTGAAGAGGACTTTATTCCTCTAAAGCACCAGTGGACACTTGTTTATATCTTTCTAAATAAAATTTTCTCAATATATGCTTAATCTGAGAATGGTCACAGATGGCCAAAATTTTGTTTTGGTTTATCTTTACAAATGGTTGATGTTGGAAACACAACAGCCCAGCACGGCTGAATATGAGAGACCGAACAATCCAGTGAGGCCTAAATTGGAAGTAAATCAAATTTTCTGTGGTCCAAAATGATTGCACTTGGAAAAAGATCTGTRTTGTCTAGAAGCACTGGCAGCTGTTGCAGATCTAAGAGATGCAGTAGTGACCTCAGCTTATGAGAAACAAGAAATAATGTCCTAAGTACAAATATTTATGGGGGTTAGAGTTCAGAATCATCAAAATCACCCCTCTCCTTCTCTCTAATGTACGTACAAACACAAATAACACACCCTCTCTCTCTCTGGGTATCCACATTATATAGGGTAATACATCTAAATTAGCAAAATTACTCCAGGCTAAGAAAATAAGCAATGTCACTATAATGATTGATTACATACATTTTAAAAGACAATTTTAAAAAATACTCTGCAATCAAACATCATGAACTCAGAGAATTTCAGTTAATAYTGGATTTCGAAGAAATCTGGACTTGTTACATTATTGTCGGAAGATTTAATGGGAACAATCATAAGACCACAACTCTTTCTCAMAGCACTGCATTATGACCACAAGATCATGATTTACATATTTATCTCTTCTGATCCCATGTCTCTGGAAGGGTGGAAAAAAGTGTCCAAAGTAATTTGGCCTCTGTTCAGGACCCAAGACACTTATCATGATGTCACTATAGGGTAA